GCCATTTCTGCCCGCCGCTCAGATTGATGCCATTGGCACCAATGTCAGTAAGTTCCCCATCCGGCAGCATTTCGAGGTCCTTTGTCAAAGCACAGGCATGCAGAACCTTTTGGTATCGGTCGTTGTCTAGAGGAAGTCCAAATAGGATGTTGTCTCGGATAGTGGCGTTCTCGATCCAGGGAATTTGAGCGACATAGGCAATAGACGATTCAATTACCCAGTTACTCCTGTTTGCAAGTGAGTCATATCGCTGGTCAGCGGGCGGTGGTTTGGGGACGAAAATTTCGCCCGCAAGGACCTCTGCCTCGCCGATAATGGAGGCTAGTAGCAAGCTCTTCCCAGACCCTGTGCGACCCGATATGACACTCAATTCGTTCTTGGGGAAGACGAGGTTCAAGTTGCGCAAAGCGAAATGGCCTTCCTCGTTGTCCGGGTTGTCCGATGGCCAAGAAATCGTAGCGTCTTTGAAAACCACAGTGTCTCCAGGCTTGGTGCCATCGATTCTTTCGGGCGCGTCGAGGTACTCCTGAACCCGACCTGCAGACACAATGGCATCGAGAAGATCTGTGATCATTTCTGGAATAATGGCCAACGTCATTTCAATGGCTTCAAAGACGGAAATGGTCGTAAAAGCCACTGACGCAGTCAATTGCTTGTAGATCAAGACATATGTTGTGAGAGACACAGCCGCCAGCATGACGGGTCCGAAAATCCAAATACTGATCAGTGTAGTGTCATACACAAAAACTCGCCATTGGGTCTTCAGCTCCCTTCTCCGCGTCTCAAGGATCTTTGCGTACCAGTCCCTTTCAAGGGCACTGAACTTGATTTGACGGATGCCCTGCAGAGCTTCGGTCACTACCGCCATTTTCTGATCGCGATATTTCATCAGGTCGTCTTGGGCAGCGGCATATCGTTTGGCAGCTATGATGTTGATGGGGGTGATCAATGCGGGAGCCGCCAGTCCAGCGAGTAACGGAATAGGTCCTATCAATTTTGTCAAGAAGCCGATGGCAAATATAAATTTGATGGCAGATCCCAGAAAGACGTAGTTGAACGTCGCAAAGTCCGCGATGCGCTTCGAGTCGACACCGACCAAGTTGATGGTGCTTTGTTTCGACTTCTGAAAGTCTCCCTCTTCGTCCTCTTCCGGAGTTCGATCTTCTCCCTTGTGGCCGGCGTCGGTGTTGACTACGACTTCACCGTTCAAATTTCCATTGGCCTCTTCCCCTTCCTGCTTCTTGCCTGTGCCTTTGACGTCTTTTCGTCGAATAGCTTTTCCAAACACGACAGCGGACAGTTGTTCGTAGATTGGCACGCCGATCTTCATGAATGTGATAAAGAACATCCAAGCCTCGAGCCAGGATGAAAAGGTGATGGACAAACCAAGGCCGATCACCAATAGCCATGATGTGATCGCCACATCTTCACCTTCATCTCGGGCTTCAAGTGTACGCAGGATAAAGTAGAGGGCAAGTTGGGGTAGAAAATCCGTGATGGAACATGTCGCTTGTAAAACCCACTGCTGAATGAAAGACCATTTGTGTGCCCAGAAGAGCGTCTTCCAGAGTTTGTCTTTGCGGCCCACGGCCTCGAAGTTGGCTCTTAATTCTCGAGAACGGGTGTCGTGGTCGATCTCATAGAGATCATCATAGTCAAGGCCCTTGTTCTTGGCCGCAAACGATAGGATCGCTGAAGCCCAAGAGAAGGTGAGCTTTGATAGGGCGGCAACTGTGTTTTGTCGGTCGACCACCTTGTCATTCCAATAGACATCAGGCCGCCGAGGAATCGACAGGCCTGCAAAGAGAAGGAGGATTCCACAGATGAATTGAACAAGTGATAGTGTGAGGTGGACGTTGCGCGGCAGTGGAGTGACTTTCGACTGCCATAGGGATATATTCTCCACAGCTACAGCGATGGCTATGAGCAAGCTGGAGAAGCTTGTAAAGATCCCAAGACGATATCGGTGCTTGGAGGAAGGTGTAACATAGATAGCAACAGTTTGGAACAAGACCAGAAACTAAAACAAATTAGACGTTACGACTCTCGACCATGCAGTATCAATCGCCAGACTCACCCAGGTTGCAAATTGAAGCCATTGTTCGACGGTAAGAGATAGATGTGGACGAGTAGTTGTCAGTACTGCGGTACCCAGAGCATCGAGAAAAGCAATGGTAGAAATTATGATTAGTATCAATCGAACGACGAAGTCGGAATATGCTCGTTGAGATTCCTCCGTCGCCTTTCCGTCTTTATCCTCATAAGATCCCAAAAGCTCTTGATAATGGTCTTTCTTCGCTCGAATGCGCAGGAGGACCTGACGAAGCGCTGGAATTGATATGGCGCCGACAACAGCCAGACATGCTATTGAGATTGCAACAGAAGTTGACGAATGATGCGCAGTCATGATGGGACAGGCCAATGCGGTCCGATTAGAGAGCTAGGTATGTGCAGGACATGGTACTCGACACAAACAGTGACTATGATGACAGGAAAACGTATGGCAGACTTTATGTTCCAGTTTTGAGCAGAAGAGAGAAGATGCAGAATTTTTAATGGCAGAAGCGCAACGTGATAGAATTCTTAGTGCCAGGGCCAAAGCCGGAAGGATGCAACTTCACCAACACCAACAACTGTAAAATGTGACCAGAGAACTGTCTGGAGCCAGGTCAAGTCATTGTCCAGGTTCTGTCTGAGGTGACGGGTGTATAACGATAGCGGTAGAGAAAGGATAAATTTCGTATTCGGAGAGGCGTAACAAGATTGGGCAGGTCGATAGCTTTTCGCTCGTAACTACGTCGTCGGTGGAGGCGAAGCGAGCTCCGCGTCAAGAGTCCGTCTTCAACCTCCACCATCCTTGCCATCCGTCTCCAACACCCATTGGTAGAGAGTGTACGTACCCTTCTCGCTAGTTGCAGATCCCTGACCCTACAGAGTTCCCAATGACTCACCCTGATATGGAGTTTCTACACCATGTGTCAACGATATGCTGGGCGCAGGCACCACTTTCTAGGGAGAAACGACATTGTTAGGAACAATACATCCCGAATATTCATGGACAATTTGTGCGCTACATAAATGTTCTGCTCAAGAAACCTGTACTCCAATCTCCCCATTTATCCATTTCCTTTTTGTGTCCCTTTGATCCCTTTTACTCCGAGTCGATAACCACAACCTCGGCCTCTGCGTCGCCAATGCTTTCAACCTTGAGCACATCACCTGCATTGACATGACTCACATACGCGCCATCTCCTTCCTTAAGAATGGCGTCTTCTCGTCCGTCCAGCCGGACCTTGGCTTTTCCACCTTTTGTTTCTGGTAAGTGGATGTATACTTTTCGGTCGGATTTGGACGTGACAACATCACCGCCGCCAACCTGGTAATCGAATGCATTGTTGACCGGGATGATGCCTGCACTGAAGACAAGATCGGCATGAATGGGGATGGTGCCCTCCTTGGTGGGAATGGCTGCCTTCTCCTCTTCCAGTGTCGCTTTGGGACCCGCCTTCAATGGAGTGATGATGGTGACAAAATCTTTGCGCTTGTCTTCTTCCGAGAACGTGCTGGTGTGGTAGATGGGGGGCAGGTTTCTCTTCCACGGCAGGGCCCAGATCTGGAGAAAGTGCACCCAATCTTTGTTGTGTTCATTGTATTCGCTGTGAGAAATCCCCCTTCCACCCGTGGTGAACTGCACATCTCCGCGGTGGAGGCGGAAGAATTTGTCCTTGTCTTGAGACTCTGCACCCTTCTTTTGCATCGAATCGCGGTGGGTCAGTTCACCCGACAAGACATAGGAGAAGATTTCGGCGTTTTGATGGAAATGTGTGGGGAAGCCCTCGCCAGGCATGACGCGATCTTCGTTCAATACCCTCAGCGATCCGAATTGGGTGTATCTGGGATCGTGCCAGCTGGCAAAGGAGAAGGTGTGTTTGGTGTCGAGCCAGCCATGGTTGGCTGCGCCCCGAGTGCTGGAAGGGCGGGGGACGATCTTTGCGTGGGATAGGTTCGACATGGTTGCTTTCAGCGCGGTGGCTGCTCTCATAGGGTCTTGTGTGTTGTGGATGGTATTGGTATTTGCGCTGGTGCTGAGCATGAAAATCGCTGCGACTGCTGTAAGAAGTGCTGTTGATGTTATGAATAGTGTGGTTTTTTGATGGGCCAAGTTGGAGAACATCGAGAGGGAACGAAACTTATATACTTAGACCTGGTGTTATTGGTAGAGCATGGTGGACACATCGAGAACAGCCTCTTGGGCGCATTATAGTCGACTTTGTAAGTCGACGGTCAGGCAAGAAGGAGTAAACAGCTCGAGGTCAGCGAGTGGAAGAGGTTATCCAATCCTTGGGTAAGCGAAAGAGAAGGACGGAATGCAAATCGCGGCCAACCAACCAGCGGTGCGCATGGATTTTTTGTCAGCAAGCGGAATTGTAGCTTTGGAATGACATCATGCTTGGTACACCAAAATGGATCTCAGTCTACGGCTTTCCTCTTTCGGACGATCCTTGCTGTCAATTAATTTGTGAGATTTTGCATAGCCAGCATTGATGAAGAGACGCAACCCTGATGCAGCTATAGACGAACCAACAACAAGCCCCAGAAGGGTAATCTCCAACTCGGATCTCACTTTACCATCCTCCCTGCAACGGTCAATCTCCCCTCCCCTCGCTAGGACGCCGCGTCTGAGTCGCAAATCGCACACTTATCCCGATTCTACGGATCCATTGACCACCAAGGCGGTGACTACAGCAGCCGTTGAGGCCGGTCAACTTGAAATCCAAGATCATGTATCTTTCTTTTCCTCCAAACTCCTCGCGGCGACACGTCCACCCGGCGCAGGAACACCTCGTCTCTCCCACACCGACTGGCTAGCTCTGTACCGTCGAAATCTCAATGACAGAGGGCACCATTTTGTTGTTCATCAGCACGACCACCCGATAGCAGGAACCCATTATGATCTCCGGTTGCAATGTAATGCGACGAGCTCAATCAGCTTCGCTATCATGTACGGCCTTCCCGGTGACCCGAACAGTACGAGATTGAACCGCAACGCTACCGAGACCCGAGTTCACAACCTGTGGAACCATCTGATCGAGACCGCCTCTCATGAGACGGGTACGATGCTGCTCTGGGATACTGGTGAATATGAAGTCTTACCTTATGAGTCCTCGTCGGGGAAGGCCAGCGCTGCGGACGACACAACAGCCACCGAGGATTCAGACCCGGACAGCGACAGCGACAGTGACTTGATATCACGAGGAAACGCAGAGTCAGAGCCATCGAAACTGCACCGCGCGTTTCAGAATCGCAAGATCAAGCTCCGCCTGCACGGCACACGGCTACCGAGGAACTACACTCTGAGCCTGAGACTCACTCACGACAACAACCGGATTACACAACCCGAGGCACCGGCCTTTAAGCGGCGGAAAAGGAAAAGTCAGAACTCGACCGCTTCAGCGCGCCGGAGATTGAGGGCTGAGGAACTTGACACGACAGATTCGGACCGAGCAAAATCCCCAGTGGCGGCCGAGATGACCTCAGGCTCAGATTCCGACCTCGACCGCCAACACCGCCACCGTGCGGGACGGTCTCCCATGCTACGTCGAAGTGTGTCCTCCCTCCTACGCACTGCATCTCCACCACGTCCGAGACGCTCGGAGTCTGTCATTCAAGTACCCGAGTCCACACCAACCAGGATATCCCGCCAGCCCACGAAAGCAGACCTGGAGCACGACTACGACGAAGACGAAGAAGAAGCCTGGATCCGCCGCAACAACGCTTACCCCGGCGCAACCAACAGTATCAACTCGATCCACCAACGCAGGTGGTTTCTCTCCCTTGACCGCGCCGCGTGTGGCTTCCGCCCCACGAACCAGACCGCATTCGGGCGGAAGATATGGGAGCGACCGCGCTTGTCCTCATCTTTACCCGAAGCAGAACGACGTCCATCGTCGACGGCAGCAGTATCATCGGCATCAGAACCAGCGTCAAAGACGAGAACCCGAAACGACAGGTCCCCCAATGTAAAGGAAGAAGAACAACAACGACAAAACCACGCAGAGACCCTGGGCGGCTTTCCCTCCTTTCACGTCTTGGGCAGAGAGGTCGAAGTCAGCGTGCTGACGGGACGCACCGCCGCCGAGGTGGCCGACGACGAAGGCCTCGTGGGATATAAGCCACGTGGAGGGTGGAGGGGGGTGGTTGAGTAAACCCAGACGTCAATACGAGGTATCCCGAGCACATGCAGTATATAGATGTTCATGGACATGTTCATACTCATACTGTACTCTTGTCCTCCTTTACTCAATAGCTCCAGGAGCGTGGCGTATTCTTTTCCACGATGAAATTCCCCGGGTTCGACAGGCCCATTCAAAAAAGAGATTCGAGACCGAAGAGAGGAGGGGGAGAAAATAAAGAAATACCTCCATCAATCAATCAGAACCATCACAATTCAACAACATCTCTAACATGAATATAAAATATAATAATAGGAGTATCATACCTTAGTGCTCAAATACTCCGTACTCCTTCCTCGCTCTATACTTTGCTCCATTCTTGCTCCATATCTACCTAGTATCCAGGGTATCTCCACTTGATACCTATTCGACATTCCATTCTTTTAATCTTCTTTCTTCTCTTCTTCTGCAAGCTGAGGTTGATCTCCTCTAAGCGTGTTTCATCTTCGTCTCCTCCAAACATGCTCATATTCATTTTCATCTTCATCGCAACATGCAGAACCATGGCTTTCCACGTGTGGCGCATTACCTTGTACCCCGTACAAACCAACAGACGTCCACCCGCCGAACGAGCCCATGCAGATAACTCCTGCGTGAGCCGCTCCCTCCCCACCCACAAAAATACCAGGCACCACCACCCCAATCGAGGTTTGTATAGGCATTGGTCTCCGAAATATCCGTGTGGTCCGGATGGCAGGCTTTGTGCTGTCTGTCCCCGTTATAGTCAAGACACAAGTCAAGAAAAGAAAGAATAGAACCCCTTAACATTGGTTTTAGCCAGCGCTGATTCCATCGTTATATGCCTTGATTGTCGTGCACGCCAAAGTGCTAGCATATATACTCCAACTCCAGATCATTCCGAGTCCTTTTCCTGACCCCGCAATAGTCAGCCCTGCCTCAAACGAAACCAAGTCTCACACCGATCCTGTTCAAAAACGATGCCCGGAAAAGTGATCAGACACCTTGCGGCCTGAATGGTTCGTAAGCGGCACCTCTTTGCGGCGCATATGGCTGGGGGCCGAGCGTGTTCAATGGCACACTTTGCTGGTCACTTGGGCCCATGTAGGGACTCCCCACCCTCTCATACGTATACGGCGTCTTCTCTGCTCTTGTGCGTCTAGCTTCTTTACTTCCAGGGTTGTAGGGACTTCTTCCACTGCAACAGCACACACTCAACAACCAGAAGAATGCCGCTCCGACAGCGAAGGCACTGCCAATCCAGGTGACGGAGAAGACGGAGCTGCCCAAAGTGGTCTTAATGCCGTATTCCTTCTTCAGAGTGTTGTTCAAGGCGGCCTTTAGGACGATGTAAACGGCGGTGGCGGTGATAGATCCTGCAACGAGAAGGAGCGCCATGGCGGAAGCGCAGAAGGTAGTAAAGAAAGAACCCCATCTCGAGAAGATGGCCGAGATGCCCACAAGGATAGTGATGCACGAGGCAATCAGCGCGCCAATGTACAAGTAGAAGATGGCCTTGGAAGCGTCGTGATACACATCCACTCCGTCTCTAAAGCTCTTGGGTAGATAGTCGTCAACAGGGACGCCGGTGCTGTTCAAGCCCCAGATCTTGATCGGGTTGAACCAGAAGTAGGATTTCGGGTCCGTGCAATTTGCATAGGTGTCGTCGCCATTCCAACTGCAATAGCTGCGCAGGTAGATGGTGTAGTAGTCTTTCATACCCAGGGATTGCTTGGCTGCTTGGAGGGCGCCGCCTAACAGGGTGCTGTTGGAGTTATCTCCAGCGAGGAGGTTTGCGGAGGACGTCAGTGTGAGGTTGGTCATGTCGATCTAGAGGCCGCAAATGTTAGATAGAGTGCTCATGAACCACTTTCTAATACTGCTTACCTTGACAAAGTATAGATTGTCGAGTGTCTTATTGCGGTCATATGTACCCCCAAGGAAGACCAGTACAACACATACCAGTACACCTATTGAGAGGAGAAAGGGCGCTGCTATGCAGCAGACACGGCCTGCGTTGACCATATTGATCTGCTATTCGCTTGACTGCGACGGCGTTTGTGTACTGGAGAGTAAGACGAGTTTGCTCCTTCCACTTCAGTTCAGCTGAGGCTGTTGGAGAGAAACGGTTTTGGGTGCGGGGAAAGAGGCCAATGTTCGAGACCGTTACGATCTTGTAGTGCGAATGCAATTGCAAACGAGAGACTTTTGGTGACAACAAGGTATTCGAAATGAAGAAGAATAAAAGGTTACAAGATCAACTTTTCTTTTGATCTGTCCGAAGAAAGGGAGGAGAGGAAGATAATGGGCGAACAACGGTGAGATGTGACAGATGGTCGTTGGATCGGGGGGCCGTAAGATTATGGGGGCAGTTTTTGAACTTTTTAGCAGTAGCAGTAACAGTCTGCAGGCTCGCTAGTCTAGCGGTCGCAGCGAAACTCAGGCTAGGGTTTTAGGTGGAGGTGGAGCTTTTGCAGCCGCAGTGCAGTTCGAGGATAGGCGAATTGTTGTCAGAAACGGATAACGTCCAGGGACCAATCCTAACAGGGTGGATGGAGAGTGGATGGCGATGGTGAGAGCCAGCGATGGCAATGGGTAATATTCGTACAAAATGAAGATGAGTCGTAGTGGCCGAGGGAGGGTAATCAGGAGAAGAAAGAAGAGCAGTTTGTTGTAGAACAGCTGAAGGTCAAGTGAGGAAAAGTCCGAGAAGTAGGTCGTGAAGCATCATGAGTCCAGACTTCTTATTTCCTTTCAGGTGGCACAGCAGCCCGTGGATGAGGAGGAGTTGGTGGCTCAGCTGTTGCTTGGACGCTTGGACGCTTGGGAACTTTGGGAAGCTCAACTAAGTAGTAGTACGAGTAATACGAGGTATTCGTAGGAGTAGTTTCTGTGCCTGCGAGTCCACCACGAGGCCATGGCGCAGCCGCAGCAAGCAGCAAGCGGCTGAAATCCCCCCGTTTGCTCCATGTGCTGGGAGTGATCGTCGTGGTGCTGACTGGCGCAAGATGGGCGCAGATTTGGGGGGCCATTATCGTTATTACTACTCGGCAGTATGTGTTCCCTTTCCACCCTCTTGTTTCTGTGTCTCATCATTCCACAAGAGGAAAACGCAAGTGGTGAATCTGTCCTTGACTAAGGCTCTTCTAGGGAAACGATGCTCGACTTTGAACTACTTGTACGAGTAAGACACAATCAGTGGTACGATCAGTGGCCTGCACAAGTACGGATATATTGGAGTTTGGTACCTCGTAATGTGCCGTGCCCTTCCCATCCTCTTAAAAATCCCTATATCAGTGTTTGTAAGTGATGGTATGCTGGTATGTAAGATGGCGAAGATGTAGGCCAGACATGGCAGTTGTCGTCTGCCGTAATTGCGGTTTCCGTTTCGAGCCAGAGCTGGACCTCTTTGCTGCTCTCTTACGAGTAATTTCTTCTGGGGAGGAGGATCGAAGCCAGTGATCCTCCTACCGTTCTAGGCGAGCAGGATCAGAGGAAAGCGCCTTAGACCTCAAAGGACCACAGAAGACCACGACAAGGAACCGTGGTGCCAAGTGCTCGTCTCTAGCTTGGATAAGCAGGGCGTGGCAGGGGTTGTCAGGGTCCCGTAGCGGGACTACTGTCGTCTGACCAAGGGGATTGATTGGTGATGATTCTTATTTATAGACAGTGGCCATTTTCATAAGTCTTTACTCGTACTTGTGGTGCGTGTTTGCTGCACACGCGATCACCTTCCAGCTGAATGCCACGTGATTCTCCCGCGACTCGAACTCGTGCCAGTTCTTGTACTTGTAACTGCGCTGCGATCCACCTGGCATCAATCAATGACAGGCCACGCCCACAGGCAATCCAGGGCAGAGTGTGGCTCTGATGAGCTCGAGTACGTAATCATCAAACTGAAGTAACATCCATTCATTTTCATTGCCTCAACAAAGGCGCCAGATTCTACTTCCATTATTATTACTGCTCGGGAACAAACATTGACATGCATCGACTCCCTTTTCCTCACATTTGGCATCCCCACACGATTTCGCCCATGACGGTGTATCATCGCGGATTCAAAAAGATAGAGAGACAAAAGGAGCGCAAATTCCTCCGATGACACGATCCGTCTGCTTGTGTCTACTCGCCCGTGTATCGACTCCGGAATTCCTGCTGCGCCATCCAATACGGAGTAGGTGCCTCACGGGGCTATCTCGTCCACTTAAAACCTCTCCAGCCACATTCCCCGTCATCTTCATCGTCATCGTCGTGACACCTTTATCATGCCAGATTCGTTCGCAGTGTGGCTCGTGGTGGTTTGAGATGGCCATCAGCTCCTAAGCGGCCACGGCGTGTTGCCCTGTTATTGCATCCGAGGTTAGCGACCTGGCTCCCACGTCCAATTTTCGATGCGAACCGGCGCATCGAAGCACCAAGGTCCCAGAAACTCACCATTGGTTTGTTGTGGTCTTTCTTCTTCCTCCTCTTCCTCTTCCTCCTCCTCTTCTTCTTGCTCATACTCGCCGTGTTGGCCTGCAGGCACCCAGCCATCGCGATCGTTCTTCATTGGGGGGTCTTGACCAGCGAGATCGACTCCCTCGCCTTTGTGAGAGCTGGCCTTCCTTCTCTGGCTCAGAGTTCGTGATCGGGTGGAAAGCTTCGCGCTAACTTGGGCCGTGGATGACACCCAGTTCGTCAGGGCATCCTCGCAGTCCTGAATGATAGCCTTGGAAGCTTCATATCCGTCGTACGCATTGCGCGTCTCGCCGGGGGTGACCGGAGTGTCATCGATGAGACTCAACAGGTGCTTTCCATAGCCAGCAATGATGGCGACTTTCTCGCAATGTTCGCGAATCGCATCAAACTGGTAATTGAAGGCGGCCTTGAGCTTTTCGCGGGTGATGTTGGAGAGCTGGGCCTCGGCGACCAATGATTCGGCTTCAGCTCGGACGAGTTCCTGCTCGAGGACAACAATTCGAGGGCTATTGGGTTCCTTGTACTTGAGCTGCGCAATCTGGTCCGTGATCTTCTGCTTGCGGTCTCGCGATGGCTGGACCGAGGCTTCGATGTTGCGGATCGACTTGATGGTTACACGGTATTGATCGTAGCGGTCGACGAACTGGTCTTCCAGTTCGCCAATCTCATAGATCAAAACACCGAGCTTGTCCGTCACATCGCTGACGTCCTCGTCGCAGCCTTCTCCCCAGAGGGACAGTTGTTGCTGTTGGGTCGATCGGTCAGACGGGAACACCTCACAGAATCACAACGCACCCGGGCAACTTACAGCGACCTCCATTCGTTCCCGACCCACCAATTCCATACTGCGCATGACATTCTTCTCCATCTTGACGAGCTGGGAAAGCTTCTTGGCGAGGTCTGGCCCAAAGGCGCCGGCGGTGCCCTTTCGGAAAGCATGTCCTGTTTTCTTTGTGTCAGCGTTGGTCGCTGCAGTGTATAGCCACCAGTTTCCAGGGTCATTGTATTACCAAAGTTGCCTCGGCCGAACAGGCGCCCACTTTTCGTGGAAGACGGTGGCGGCGGAGGATTCTCAATCTGAGAAGCTGTAGGGGCGCGCGACTGGCGCATAGAATATGTTCGATGCATCCTGAGAGGTGCGGGTAGAGTTTGAGGTGTTGATGGTGGTCGAGGTGAGTTGAGGGGAGGTGGTCTGAGGGGTGGGAGGGTGGTGCTCGCTGATCACAGCAGACAAGAGAGAAGCTAAGCGCGACTGTGTGCGCGATGCTGTGTTAGCAAATATTGAAGTAGATGCAGAGGAAATGGTGCCAGCAGCTTAATATGACTGAGATGGTTGTCCTGAGGAAAGCATGCAGAAGATGAGAAAGTCAATGTAGGAGTAGTGGTGATACGATGTGTGCAAGGGTGAGTTTTGAAGAGTCTCGGGCCTGAATGACGTCTCGGAATGGCGCGGGAGCCGTGGATGGAGCAACAGTGACGGCGACCAAGCTTGGGGGGTGGCGGCCAGCTGCCTTTGGGGTGCCTAGGCGCTCCAGCCCCCAGAATTTGGGCCTCCGTCACAAACTTGCTGGAGTGGTGACGAAGGTAGAGAGAGGGCAGGGAGGCAGGGAGAAGACAATGATGGTGATGGAGACCCGGGCCCGCCACATCGTCACTCTCTCAGCTCCACTGCCACAATAGTGCGACCCTTCGTCTTCTTACCTAGGCAGCTAGGCAACTGGTTGGAAAGGCCTCCTCCACACTCACACTTCAATCCAAATGGAAAAAGGCAATCAACAATTATCGCGACTCACCAAAAATCCAGGCTTGGGGAAAGCTTAAACAGTCAAGAGATGAGGCCAGAGAGAGACAAGAGATGGGAGGTAGGTAGGTTGGCGGGACGGGGGACGAAATGTTCAAGCGGACAGACGCAGGTACAGATGGGGAGGGGGAGAATCGAACTTTTTGAAAAAAGGATTGAAAGCTCCTTTGAGCTTTGGGGAAGCTGCAGGCTTTTTGAAGCTGGAGCTGGTCTTTTGGGGAAATGGGTGGCATCTGGTGGTTCAGCATGCAGCATTCAGGCACTTGTACCAAATAACTACTCGTATGTAGATGGATGAATAAGGGCCGGGTAACCGCTACAACCACCAGCTAGCTAAGCAGCCGTGGGCAGCTAGCTAAGCACCTCCATACCTTGGGTAGGTAGCTTCCCTGGTAATCTAGGTGGTGATAGGTGGTACCAGGTGGCAATTGGAGGGGGCGCTAGGCGGTACTGGGGGGTTTGTTGCTTGTCGCCCAAGAGCCTAACCTGCACCAAGTAACTAGAGCAACCGTGGTGGGGCCAGCCACTTTATCCACGCCGCTCACGTCATCGGATTGCATCGAAAGATCAAAAGATCAAAAAGATCAGCCCATCAACTTCGCTCTCTATGGAACGAGCTGAGGCGTTAAGAGCGTCTAAACAATACGCGTCTTTCTTTATTCTGAAGACCTTTGACACCGATGGGTACCCATCACGGGAGGAGCGGACGTCCAGCCACCACCATTGCAGCAATAACCTGCCCAACAGGCTAATATTGGCCGCTAAAGTTACGGGTTGGTATGTACTGTAGCACCGCCACTGTTCCGGCTAAGTCTGTCCTGGTGAAAACTAACCTCTACCTACGAGGTGCTTTAGCTAGCACCGCGATCAATTGCCCGTCACGAAAACCCTGCAGGTGCAATAAGTGCTGATCCGTCCAGCAAGTGAACATCGGTTCCTTTCATTCGCCGCAAGCTTCCTTTGTTCCTGGCCGATCTCCACGAGGCACATCAGAGACCCACACATGGTCAATGAGCTTGAATAGATAAGGTATACCTCGTACTCGGTACATACAGAGCAGGGACGGCGGACTGCTCGCCTCTTCCTTTCCTGGGGCTTCTCCGCCGTCGCAAACAGAATGCGCGACGGTTGATATTCTCCTTCACCTGGAAGCGTGACATGCTTCCCCGATTATTCTGGTTTCGTGTTGGATCTCTGCCATCGTTTCTTGTCCTAGCGCATTGTTTTCCCGTTGGATTCGTTCTTCTGCTGTCTTCATCGTCGTCTGCCCTTAGTCCCTCTGCTGTGCTTTTTGACGTTTACTCTTCTTTTCTGTCGACCACCGTTATCTATTTCTTCGTCCAGGTCATCCTCTCCAGATGCATCGTCTTCGCCCTCATAATCTTCATCCTCCGAATCGTCGATTTCGATATTTGCAAGAGCTCGCACCGTCTCCCCCCCTGAGCTGTTCGCCTCTTCTTCGTCATCGTTGCTCGGACTTGACTCAGTGCTCTCGGAAACCTCCCTCTTGCGTTTTTGCCCTGGCGCGACCACCGGAGACTGGCTGCGCTGCTCTTGGGCAACGTCGCTGCCCTCTCCTGCAAGCAGATTGGTTCCTGTGGTTCGTCCTAGACGTTCATGAGAAAGAGGAATCAGAGCTCTTTCGTTAGAAGGCTTGTCTCCTGGCTCCCAGAAATTCTTGACATGTTCATCACTGTAGCCGTATTTCCACAGCAGCTCTTCTCCCGGCCGGATATTACGTCTTGCAAACAATCCGATCCGGACCTGCCCACTGCACAGTAGACTTTTGGGTTCCACATTGATGAACTCGTCTTTTTGCGAGTTGTTCATAAATCTCATCTTGTTGCCGACAACTGACGCATCAATCTCCTGAGACGCGTTGAGATTGAAGAGGTATTCTTGATTTTGAAGATGGTAGAGCGAGCCTCTTCTGTCGGCCTCCTGTCTACTGACCACCTCACCAACATATTCGCCGATAAATTCGCTCCTTGGAATGCTGGTTACGCTGTAAAGCCCGTAGCCCTGAACCTGGCTAGGCGCCTTGGTTGTCTTCGCAGGCAGGCCCAGTTGGATCCGGTTATTTCTGCAACGACCCTGGCGATTGTCGACCCGGTACTTGTTGTAAGAATCCAGAACGTCAAGCACGCCACATTTGAGGCAGAGATGGGGATCGCATTCACGATTCAACTTCCAGCATTCGCACCGGGCGTCCTGGAAGCAGGTCTTCTTCACACTAGCTTTGCAGTTGCACCCTCGAAAACGCCGTTTGCATTCGATGTCACACCCACAAAACCATTCGCAGTGTACCTTGGCTTTCGCACATGAGCATGCCGGGTTGTCCTGGCACGGTCCTTTGTGGTAACAAGGAACAAACGGTTCACGCGTATGTAATTCTGCGCTGTTCGATACATCGATTATTGGCACCCGATTCTTCTTGTTCTTCTTTCTCTTTTGGTTGGGTGCTACCGCGCTTGCCTCTGGCTGAGCAGGACTGATCTCGGCATCGGAGAGGGATGGATCAATAGAATGCTTCACTCGGAAGATGGAGAAAAGTATATGATTGAAGACCATCATGCAGCTCACGTCCTTGATAATTCTTGAGATCAGGCAGGGGCCTCGTTGATTGTGGAGATAGAACCGCATAAGACTTTCGACCATGGCTTTTTGGGACTGCGACAAGAATGGCTGAAATGTTACCTCTGATACCGTGATATCACGCCGGTTGTTGACATCCCAAAAGCACGACGAACAGCAAAACTCGTCATCCGCCAACACGGGCCTCACGTAGCTTTCTGGCATCCGTTTGGCGCCACCGACATACCCTTCGGGTCGTCGCCCTAGTAGCTGTCGCAAGCCCGTCGACGGGTCCACGCAGAAGATTCCGCATAGATGGGTGTCGCCTTCGACGCTGGGCTTAGTACTCGGCCGTGACACAAACTTGCGTATGTTGCGATCGGTTTCCGGATCATTGATGAATGCTCTGGGTGTTTCCATATCTTCATTTTCGTTCGAGGCTTCCTCATCCAGAGCTTCCTCACCTGGAGGCTCGTCATCTTGGGATTCGTCGTCTGGGGATTCCTCATTTGCGGGCTCCACATAAGCGCCATGATCTGGGCAATTATGGCGAAAACAGATCAAGCAGAGGTCGGAAGTTTGCGTTGAGGCTGTGATGGAATCCGGATACCGGGGCTGTATTATCTCGCCAAAGGAAATATGCCACAAACTTGACCCAGCCTGCTCATGGAAGGCGTAGGCCAGCAGGCCTGCAAAAACAAGCCTTCGATCGTCGGGTCGTGGCAGACGCTCGAATTGCTCAACTAAATCTCTCTGCCGGCTCTCAGGATCAGCTAGGCCGCACATCTTACACCGACGCTTTTGCTCTTTTGTCCATGCCTGGCGGGAAGCCTCCGGCCAATCGAGCTCGATCTGTCTGTCGGGTTCAAAGTGGTCTTGTACGTAGAAGTAAAGAATATCACTCCTCTGTATTTCAAGCATGCTGAAGATATCTTCGATCCAGGGCCGCCAAAGCCAGACTAGTTCTTGACACTCACGCTGTTTCGCCATGCCCGGAAAGTCGATCTTGTGTCGTTCTTCAAACTCTTCGTATTTTTTGCTGGCGTCTGGATCTTCGGCCTCGTCTTCCATGTCGTAGGCTCTGTGATGGGCCGTCCGATAGTTTGGTGCAAGAAAGCTCGCGTTCACCCTGCCAACGGACCGGAATTTTGGCAACATCGGCGCCCCGCCGCCAAGGGGCTTCCGAGGAGGCCTTAGCAGTTCGCCGTCCTCCTCTGCAGATGGTTGCCGGTCTTTCCCAGCTCTCCGCTTTTCCTTAGTAGGCGCCGCGAAAGGGTCCGAAGGATCGCCCTTTGCAGATGGTCGCCGGTCTTTCTGAGCTCTCCGCCTCTCCGCAGTAAGCGCCGCGAAAGGATCTGGACGATTAGGGTCAAGCTTGGGACCGGGATGTTTCATTACGTCGATACTGATCTGCCGCAGAGCGGCTTGGATGGTTGCCTGCTGCGAGGAGCGCAACTTCTGATAGGAGCTTTCCATCAGCGATTTGAAAATCTTCACGTGGGGACGGATTGTCCTTCCTCCTGCCGAGCGTATCGAAGACTCAGACGAGATACTTCCGGTGTCCGAGTACCGGTCGTCCTTGCTCATGCGGGACGAAGCCTTGTCAATATTGTCTTCCCCCGTTTCCATCACGATGTCCTGTTGGGACTGCTGACCAGTTGGCTTGTCCTGTTCGCTGTGTGCATCTCGTGATTCCGCTGGACGAAATGCAAGCCTTAGTGACTGTCCTTGTATTAATTCCGGGCTGCTTGTGCCTGTCCCTTTCTCCTCATCTGAATCACCAGACACGCTCTTAGACGAGGACTGGTCCTCTCCACGACTCGGCCTTTCAGTGCGATGTCGAAGTGGCCTTGCGTTGTCACTAGGAGTGCCGTCCTTTTGCTTATTTCGCGTAACAAGATGCGACTCATGTCTGTCTTCTCTCGAAGGAGAGGAGACGGCGAATCTGGATGATGATGGTGATTTTTTGTGACTGATGGTTCTCGATTCAGGAGTTTGGCGAACTGTTGACAGATCAGTCTTCCTGAGTTCGGAAAGTTGCTCACTGGCAGGCATTGAGCCTCCAGATGGAACGAAGCTCTTCCTCAGAGAAGTAGACGGCATGGTCTGAGGATCTGATAGTCCATCAGGTGGCCTTACTGCTGCTGGCTCTTCGCTTTCTTCGCGAAGCCGCGCAGGAGCGGAAATTTGAGTGCTGGGAAGAACCGTGGGTAGTGGAGGTTCCGAGGAACCTGCCCCTGGCAAATCTGCTGGAGGTGCCCGCGCTTGCTCCGGGCTAACTGGGTTTGAGTGTACTGCTGAGGGTTTTTTTTTCGGTGAGTTTGATGGTGATAAATTGGCTGGCCGCTTAGAAGTCGAAGGCAGCGGCGGATGCCTCGATCGTTTTGATAGGAGATTTCTTGGGGGATGTGGTGTGGACCCTGTAGGTGGTGAAGGCGGTGTTGACATTACAGACAGAGGGTGTGGCTTTGAGACTGTCTGTAGATGCCGCCGCCCCGTCCCGAGTGGCTTTGATGAGGAAGTGTGTGACGACTTTGTCGTCGATGGTTTTGCAAGAGTTTGGGACTTCGGGAGAGGTGCCGGTGGCATTGGTGTCGGTGCCAGTGGGGAAAGCGATGGCGGTGGCTGTTCTGTCATCATCTCCTGCGCTGTATCCAACGGCTTTTCGGTGGTACTGTTCCCCGTCAATCTTTGCCTTAAAACTCGAGGGCTTCCAATGGGATTTTGATCACTCGGTGACTCCTCGTCCGAGTCAGATAGCACAATGATCTCGGGTTCGTGAGCCGGCGTCTTCTTGGTTGCATGACTTTGCGAGCGATTGGCCCGTGTCTCACGGCCAGGTGCCTGCCTCGATGAGCCAGAAGACCTTGAAGAGGAGGCTGATGAGCGAGTGTATTTGTCCATCTTGGGCCAGCAGCGAGCGTGCCTCTGATAATTCAGAAAGTAAAAAGAGAGGTCAGGATCACGGCCTTAGTATTTTGAGTGTTCCGGGCTTTGCTTGAAATCGTTCTGTGAGGACGATGGCGATCGACCCGGCTTACCGAGTACTGGAAGCCGAATGCCATTTCATACAACAAATTCGCGGCAGCTTCGACTCCGACATTCAATCATAAGTGTATCAGAGTTCACGACATGATTGTTGACGCAGGTGCCCAGCGAGGCAGGCAGATGGCTCACATAGTTGTCGATTTCTTGGCAGTTTAAGTGCGGGGCCACGACCACCTACTACGCGCTAGTACGGCTGCCTAATACTAGCAACTTGGCGCCTTGAGTGCCATTGCTTGGCGGGGAGAAAACGCCAAGGAATAATCTTTCACCCTGGGTATAAGTATGAGTTCCTCATCCCTGCGTCTTCGACGCCGTCTTTTCTTTTTTTTTCCCATCCAAGTGCAAGGGCAGTACGCAGCTCATGAGGTTTTGTATGTCTCCCACCAACAAAGTTCAACCTAAGTCTTTGTTCATATCGTCAAGAGTTCAATGCTAATGTCTATGTTGTACAGAAACCGAAGCTGTGTTTTTTGCTAGTTGAAAACTACCTACTTGACCACTCCATTCGGCCTTCGGGTCGCTTGGGAATATTTGGAACCAAAACACTTTACCTTTTCATCATCTCAGCGCCTTGAGCGAAGATATGGAGAAGAGGATGAATACACGAGAGTGGACCATACGGCCGAAGCTGGAGCAAGGAGACTGGAAACTGGTAGTGAACAGGTAAAGGCAACAGCTGCGATGTGGCTGAGCTAAATGAGATTTGAAAAACGGGACGCTTTGCATAAATACCGTGTTATCAGTAGCATGAATTGTTTGGGACACTTTGGTCCTGTCCTCATCAACGTCGAGAACAAGAGGCTGTCGCATGCCTGACTAACTGCGGCTTGGAGGATGATAAGCACGTCCTTGGTTGTGCCTCTACGCCGAAAAGTATGAAGCTCCAACTCCCCTCAACCTACACCCTTGGACTTTCAGCATCACTCATTACCCGCGCCCACTTCCAAAATGCCAGCCGCGCTCGTCACGGGTGCGTCTGGATTCCTGGGCCGTCAAGTGCTCAAGGTCTTTTCCGATGCTGGATGGAACGCAACCGGGACAGGCTTTAACCGCGCATCGGGGGCAGTCCGCAAAGTGGACATCCAAGATGCAGATACCGTCACCAAATTGTTCCACGAGGTCAAGTATGAGAGTGCCTCGTTACAGATCGCGCGTTTTAAAGCTTACAGCAACAACCACTAACACAAAGCTCTCAGACCTCAAGTCATCGTCCACTGTAGAAGCCGCCTCCTCTCCTCTCTCCCTCTCTGCCAGAAATGCTGCCTGCCAAAGTTATTTATAGCTGACATGCTACAGGCGCCGCGGACAGGCAACCAGACTCGTGCACCCAGAACCCAGAAGCAGCACGCAGACTGAACGTCACAGCGACCGAACTCCTCGCCTCTTGCGCTGCTAAACACGATGCCTTCCTCATCTACATCTCCACGGACTACGTCTTCCCCGGCGTGCAGGGTCAAGCGCCCTATAAACCCACCGACACGCCGAAACCCACCAACGTGTACGGCCAGACCAAACTCGACGGGGAGACGGCGGTCCTCCAATTCCCAAACACCGTCGTCTTGAGAGTCCCCGTGCTGTACGGCCCGACCTCTCCCAGAGAAAACAACAAAGAGTCAGCGGTCAACATCCTGATGGACAGTCTGTGGAAGTCGCAGAATGAAAAAATAAAGATGGATGACTGGGCGATCCGCTATCCCACAAACGTCGAGGACGTGGCCCGGGTGTGTCTCGACATCGCCAGACTCTACACAAATGCACAACACCCGGACGAGCTCCCGCGCATCCTGCAGTTCTCCAGCGAGGACCGCATGACAAAATACGAAATCACCCAGAAATTCGCCGAGATCATGGGTCTCCCCATGGACGGGATCGTGCCTGACAAGGACGGAGGGAAGCCGGGCCCGGATGGCACGCTGAGGCCGTATGACTGCCACCTCGACACGGGTGAGTTGCAGAAGTTGGGGATCGATGTCTCGACGGTGGATTTCGTGGCCTGGTGGCGACGCTGGGTTGGTGCCTACCGACATTAAAATGGTGACGAGGCGGGCAAGAAATAACATGGAATATGAGCTTGAAGATGGCCGTCTCGGTAGGGACTTGGTGATGTGTACCAGGCTGCAAGGGCGTGCCGTGGCTATAGCATGACGGTCATAGAGGACCGGTCTATGGTCGAAGTGGGCTATCGACGACGTACATAGAAGATGTTACTGCGAAAACTAACACATTCTCTACGCTGGCCTCTTTTACTCTATGCTCTGTTGAAGTCATCGTAGTGTGGGATAAAAACTTAATGAAACGCCCTCTTGATGGCCCTGTCTAGGTTACTCCTCCGGCTAGCTGCGCTGTTATGTCTCTCCATCTGCAAACACTGCCACCTCAGCCCGCTCCACGCGAGGACCAGGTTGAAGACGCGGTCTCGATCCACAGGGTTTAAGAGGATCGTGAGACCCGTGTCGGCGTCGTCGTTGTCGAGGAAAGAGAGTTGCAGTGCCTTGGCGGAGCGCGAGTGCAGGTGTTTGAGATTCTTGAGCGTTGAGTCTGAGTGGATGTCGATGCTGTCGAGCTTGCGCATCTCGGAGAGAGCGCGAAACGGCCAGTTTCGGTCTTCTTTTCCATCTTTGGAATAGAGCGCGAGACCTGTCCTGCAGACTATCAGGCGCGTGCATCCTTTGACGTTGTCATAGATTCGGAATGTATAGCCTCTTTCGCCCAGTCTCTGCAGTGGAGGAGACTCGCTCTGGTCGTCGTCGTCGTCCTCATCATCTATCCCTTCATCGCCAGAATCGGTATCTCTCAATTCAAACTCTGTCAAATCAGCCTCGTCCTTCTCTGCCGCCTTTTCTTGCAGTCTCAGCACCGCCAGTTCCGCGTGTGTGGGAATGTCCCAAAACACCCATCGGAAATGTGACAATAACAACCTGTATTTGGGAAAGTTGGCGGCGACGGGGTATGTGAGAAAGAATGCGCCGCCAACTATGAACCACACGAGCTTGACGCAGAACGCCATGTCTGCACACAACGTGATAAGAAGACAGCAAGCGAAAAAGAAGAGTGTCGCCAGCGTCATGTTCGGCCGTTCCCATCGGTGGAAGTTCAACAGGATCTCGAGAAAGTTCGCCAGGTCACCGAGCTGTAGCTGAATAGTCGGGCCAACCTCGTCCAACAAGGGTTCCAGCCAGTCATGCTGTCCATGTCTCTGGATAAGTTCGCCCCATGCTTGTACGCGCGCTTCCCGGTCAAAGGCTCTGCTCACACTCTCTCGAACCGCCTGTACAGAGCGCGGGCGGAACCTGTTGCGCAAGGTGGAGTAGATGATGTAAAAGTAGAGGTAGCCCACAATATGTTGGGTGTACCACAGAACACAATAGACAGCCAGCCATTTCGCTGTCCGAGCGGGTGATTTCCACATGTAGATATGTCGGACGTCGACAAGAAAAGACTGCCAGGGCGCTGATGTGATGGCAATCCGTTCAATGATGCGCGCGAGGTCTTCAAGATCAAATGGTGGGGAATCAAAGTCGTCGATGTAACCGGTCGTGAAGTTGCGGGTGTAATAGAGAATCATGTAGCCGAGATATCTCTCCCACTCAAACCTTTCCCCATTTCTAAATTGAGACCGTTCGGGACGAGATATCGGACGAACAACCTTAACACGGGAAACGTGTCGCCCAAGTATCCAGGCTGTCTGCAAGCTTTCTCTTTGATGTTCAATCTTGTGTACGCGATGATGGGCTTCATCCAGCTCGGAGGTGACTGCACTGGTGTCAGCATCCGACGGCTCACTCGAGACTGCGCGAGCCAGAGCGTCGTGGGCATCTAGAAGTTCCTGATCTTGGTCGACAGTCAGAGTCGGATGGCGTTTTCCAAGTTTCCCGGCGGCAATGTGAGTAGCTTTGCTACGCATCACCCGTCGTGGGTGTGTGCTCAGATATTTGACGCTCTTGAAACCATCGTGGAGTGCTTCAGTTGTCGACTTCTTCTCTTTTGGAGATGTGTGCTGAAGCACTCTCGCAGGGTCGAAAGCTGCATCGGAAAAAATGTCCTCTTGTTCACCAGAAGATGCATTAGTCTGAGCAGGAGAAAGCAGTTCTTTTGTCTTTGCCTTTGCCCTGTCTTTCACGTGGATGGCACTGTCAAGAAGGTGTCCAATATGGTGCTCGGTCTCGGCCACACTGTCTCTTGGACTCAAGGACATATCAGGTGTCTACAACTAGGAACTCGAGTGGTCAGCATAGGCAAGGCAGAAGGCCTCTCTGGGGAGCTCCATGTCAAGGTAACCATAGTCTGAGGAGCTACTACTGATGTCTATTTTTCAGCCACAGCAGCAAACACCAAGTAGAAGTAACCCGCAGGTTGGCGGCGATTGTGGGAACCAATATCGGATCATTGTGGCGCCAGAGAGCACCATCTTCGTTACTACACCTCTGGCAACTTGATCTAGGCCATCTGTTCCAAGTTTTTGGCCGTTCAGAACGCCAGCACCGAAAAACAGTGATTGGGTGGATGGGGAAAATAATGAACTAGACCGAAGCGAGATCTCAAAGGTGGTGGTAGATCGATACCCGCTTGTGCCCGCCACTGACGATAGTCGAGAACGACGGGACGATGGTGATTGAGCAGATGGAATTGAAGGAATGTTGAAGCGAGCGAAACAAGAAACAGTGGCACCGGTGGATCGTTGATCGTTGATCGCAGTTTGATCGCAGCGGACAAGGAAATACACGAGATCTCAGATATGCGGGTTGAATTGAATACTTGACCGTATGCTGCTACGTTTGCGCATTCGTGCAATATCAGTCAGCCCTTCACTACACCTCCACAACCTCTCAATTCTAATTACTTTACGCAAGCAACATGCTCTTCTCGTCATTCTAGAACTAGAGAGATAATCTCACCTGACCAGCTACACTATGAGATACAAACTCAGATCAATGTGGGAGATCTCACATTCACTTCGAGGAGGCCGTCCTCGTAAACGTCAAAGACCCTCCCTGCCGACAACCGCGTTGGTCACGGGCTCAGCAAGTGAATCGAAGCAGGTGAACATGGGCATATATTGAATGTGTTCTGCCTGACCTCCAATAACAAACAAACAAACAAACAGTCAAGTCTTGATATTGTTCTCTTTCCTATTCATGCTCATTCATTACCACCTCGCAGGTACCTGTGTTGACCTGTCCATGACCAATGCTTTGGATTTTGTCTGCTTTATTTGATCCTTATGTCCTAGCATTCTCTGTCGCGTGTCAATATGGATGACAATCCACCTCCGAAAAAGAAGTCGCGCTTCTTCAGTAACGGAAAAAGTAAAGTTGGCAATATCTTACACCCGTTCCGAAAGCAGTCGCAGACAAACGACGCGACTTCGCCAGATAACAATACGGACGACAATCCTCAGCCTGATACTAATCGCCTCCCATTGCTGTCCAACGTTGCAACTCCTTCTGTCGCGCAAGCATCGTCTCCAGCTCACCGACAGGCTGATGATGTGAACTCTGATCTGGTGGGTCAAAGCCAAACTCCAAAGTCCACATTGAATGGCTCCGTGGTCCAGGCGGACCCTGCGGCCAATGATCAACATCAAGTTGATGGACAAGACGACCCTCCACAACCATATGTTACAGACAGTGAGGCTGAAACAGACTTGGAGACGAGCTCTGACTCCGAAGGTGATCAACATAAAGAGGATGTTGGTAAGAGTGACCAAGAGAATGTCACACCAGATGGAACTCAACAGGCAGACTCGGGCATACTTGATGTGGATCAAACGAGTTCCAGGAACAAACGCAGAAATGCCATCTACGGCGTCGAGGCTCTTCTCCCATCTGGTTCACAAAGCTCGAATGCACATGAACAAGGGGCTACTCCAAGCTCAAACCCAATCCTGACACCTCAGCCCCCAGGTCCACTGGGAAATAGCTACACTTTTGGTGGTGTCCCTACCAACCCTCATGTTGTTCCAGCTGGCGGACAGTACGCGTTCAACTTCCGTACGTCGCACATGGTGCCCACGTCACCAACCGTGCAACAAGCTGGAAGTGATGGTCTAAGCCACCCGCTGGGTTCTGGTCTAGCACGAATCGCACAGCAAACCGTTCATGCGGATACTGGTCCCCTCGGGCAACGAAAGGAATCACTGCCAACAGACCCCTCGGCAACTGTCACGGGTACTTATGTGGACATGGACCGGGACGAATATGGTCGTCGGCTTCGAAAATTCCCTTCGCGGATGCCACGTCCCCCGGCTCATCACGGCATCTATGTTGCCCCAACCACACCACCACAGCTCGTGAATCCAGACTCCCTCGTCCCAGAACACATGTACACTTCGCCTAACCGAATTGAACACGCCCAACAATTCGCTCGCATATCTCTCAAGCGCAAAAGACCCGAAGCGATCCTTCCCCCTCCATCGTATGTCTACCAGCGCACGGGTGACCCGAATTTCAGCATCTTCCAGGGCTTCCTGCTCTACCCAGAATTATGCTTCACCCTGGCAGCACACCTGCCCGTCAAGGACTTGATTAACCTGTACGCGATCAGTAAGGACTTCCATACCATTCTTGACACGCGGTTCACCACTGTGATTCTCTCACAAGCCACCGCCAAAGCCCCCGAAAGTGCCCGGACATTTATGTTCCGCAGCTTCGCACATCTCTGCCGCTCGGACCCTGCCGCGCGCCTCCCTCACCCGAATGCCCGTCTCGCAGCACACAGCATCCCTCGCCGGATACCTTCTTTCCGATGGCTCAAGATGATTATGCACCGCGAAAAGGTCATACATGAACTCATGACCGTTTTTGCCGAAGACGGTATCCCTCTCCCAGCAAGATGTGCGTTGGCACTTAAGAGACTGTGGTTCATGCTTGACATCCCCGACAATGCTCGGCGCATCGGGTACTGCCATAACCGGCACATGATGACGGACTTGGACCTGTACTTCTCGGCGTGCTTCTTCACGAAGTTGGACATGAGACTCAACGATCCTGTTTCTGGCGAGAAGAGGGACGGAATGAGAAAGCTACTTCTGACACAGCGTAGTTTCACCACTATTCTACGGGTTCTGAAACGTGATCTCTGGACAACCCGGTTCGACGCGTTGAGAGAGTGGGTCAAGTGCAAATATACACCGTTGCCGGACGAGCTGGGGATGAGCATCTTTGGCATTCCGCCACACAGAATTGGCAAGGGACGGCTGGAGTACTGGGGTCTCCGGAGCGCCCATCAACTTGGTCGGCGGCCGGAGATGCTTTTACGGCCAGATCAGTTGATCATTCGAGAAGCATTCAGGCGCGGGATACGCTTCGACAAGCACTACCTCAAGTTCATGCTGTACGGATACGTCCGCCCGGACACGCTGGAGGACTATGCGCCGCGCACATACGCGCGGAGGATAGCTGAGATCAAGGACGACGAGTATGAGGTTGATGACGTGATTGGTGGTGTTGCCGCTCTCGGCGTCGACGATGAAGGCTTCGACCCTCTCTTGGATCTCGGACAGCCCAGGCACGTGAGCAGGTTTACCATCGTCAAAGAAGAAATGTCCACGCGGGAGAAGGGGTTGAGGCAGGCCGAAGAGGAGCTTTTGAAGAGCTGTCACGAGTGGTGGGCGCGCGAGCAAGAGCAGAACCGGTAGAGGAGAGAGGACTGTTGCTAGGGATGGCAGCAACCTGACTGAACTGAGGTGCTGGGGGGTTTTTCACATGGACTTTGGAGATGGCAGTGATATCAACGCTGATTAGAGTGGGCTGACACTAGGGAATCCTTTACACCTCGCGAAAGATTCCCCCACGTCTACTTACCGCCCAGCTACGCAGCCCTCAGTACCGCGGACAGTTAGAGTCACGCCGAGGTTTACATGGGCAGAGGAGAGGAGACGACAGACAGAGGACAGGCAGGGTGAAACGGGAAGAAAAAGGGACGGAAATTGAGATGAGAAAATGAAAAGTAAAGGAGCTCAATGATAGAAATGCAGACAGAGAAACGGACAGACAGACAGACAGACAGACAGACAGATAAACCGCTGGCATTGAGATATCCTGTCCCCATCTTTTCCTCACTCGTTCATTTTTAAAATCCAAGCTTAAATACAGACCGTGTACACCAGGTAGATAGATAGGAAGATGGACATGACGAGGTCGTAGATGTAGATGTAGAGGTAGAGGTAGAATAAATACGTATGAGCAGCACAGCACAGCACAGCACAGCACAGTACCCGGTATAGTGGAGCGAAGTATCGTAGAGTATCGTATGGCACAGGAGTGAAAAAAATAATAGAATTTGCATATCCCGAGTGCACCATACCTCGTACAGAGTGTATACCTATGTAGGTACACACACGTACGAGGTACATATGGCAAACTATTTTTATCGAGATGTTGAGAAACGACATCAAGAGTAAACATGTTGAGGACATGGTCAGGGAAACTCAAGAATAGGAGAGTCGAATCAAATAAATCCAAATCAATCAATCAAATCGCTTGCTCTAGAACAATAACAAACATTTCTGGTTCTGGTCCCGGTTCCGGCTGCGTGCAACATTACATTGACCCAAACTCCTTTGAATGTCCGCCAAATAGTCGTACAGCGTAGTGTTTGGAGCATCTCTTTTGAGCGTGTAGGCCAAGGAGGGAGTCTCGAGGTATAGCTTGTCCTAGCAATATCGTCTTGCGTATCTCCTCGAGTGACGAGCCTGAGGTCTGGCATCCTCCATAGTCTTGGGCCAAATGTTGTTCAAGGCGGTCACCATGAAGAGACTGTCTGTGTACGGAGATAGCACACAGACACGGCTAGAAGTATCGCGGTGGCAAAGACGGGGCGTGACGTACAAGTAGTCCTTCAAGGTGGGTACGAGATATCAACTGGACTCGTGACTCTCTTCATTCTGCACTCGTTAGGGGCCGAAGATAGTAGCCACTGTCGCGCTGCAACTCCCCACCATGTGTTATCGGGCACCAAGATGCACGGCGACATGCAGAGTATCGCTTTGAGTAGTGGGTGAAAGCTGTTGAGTCCGGCCCCCGGGTTTTATTGATCGTCCAAATCCATTAAGGCACCGTCCATAGCCAGTCGTACGAACTCCCCATATGTACAAGAACATGTTTAGTCGGGATCTGCAATGCATTATTGATAGACACCTTGATCTCGGTAGTCATAACAGGGGATATTGATGTCGAGTCAGCATTTAGTCTTGAAAGACGTCGTAAGGCGGAAAGGGATCGGACTCCGCTGTTCGACAATGCGGTTAGTGTTCTCCACACTTGATGGATTCACCCTGGCTTGGTCCATGTCCAAGGCACATTGTTCACACGGCGTTCCACATTTTCGATGTTGATCAAATACGCATTTGGGAAATTTTGCTGAAATGGTTGATTCTCTGCAGAGACATTCTCTCACAACGGGCGAGTCGAGTTCGTTAAGGCTGTGAATCTGGCTTGGACTTGATGTCCAGCTTTGCCTCCGATCCCACAAGGGTCTTAGCCTCGGACGATAGCACGGTTTTGATATCGTCCTTTGGCTGTGAGGGACTTGACCCATCCATCTCTGAATGTGTGTAATCGCCCGGCATCTCTTGCGGGGCTGGCCAGTGCGCATCACCTGGAGCTTCGACGGCCATCACTGCTGACGGCATTTCCACTGGGACTTTCTTCTCGTCGGTTGGCATTTCGGCTGAATAGGGAGGTGCAGCCATTGAATTGTCGGCTTCAAAAACTCTGCCGGCCTCTCCATCTCGTCGCTTCCGCCGGTTGCCCCTGACCACCAAGAAGACAATCAGGGCGACAAGTAACAGGCCCCCCACAGCCGCAGCAATGGCGATGCCAGCTTTGGCGCCCCCAGAAAGGCCTGTGTCGGTGTTGGAAGAATCAGACGTCGACACCGGAGAAGGGTCAGGAGCTCCAGAGGGAACCACTGATGGCTCGGCAGATGTTGCAACGGAAATGCTTTGGCAGTCGACAGAGAATTGACTGACGTTGGTTGCGGTCATGCAGTCGGAGAAGGCAGCAAGGAACAAAGTCGTTGAACTGCAGTAAGCGACATCACTGCCATATACCGTGACTAGCAAATATCAGCATCCCCCTTAGACATGTTTGGTAACCCTTCCTCCGCACTCACCTGCACATGTCTGGTCTAAACTGGTGACCATGAAACTAAGAAAGCCCTGCGTGTTTGTCGGAAAAGGTGTACAAGTACCATCGTCTGGACCTGTCGTCACACTCTTGAATTGAGAGCACTTGTTGTCAGAGTAAAATGTGATGTTGGACAAGGCTACGACTTGGTGAAATTGTAGGGCAGACCACACAAGCGTGGTCATCAGGCTAAGGAACTTCATTGCTGCAAAGGAAACTTGAGAGGCACAGGCATGAAAAGCAAGGAGATGGGATAGAAAACGAGTGTGTTGCTTGCACGCAAAGATCAAAAGAGGGAAAATGGAAACCGGATCTGCGGTGTGGGAGGACGAACAAGACGACTTTTGTGATTGTGACAAAAGGCCGCAAACCAGTGAGGCCCGGGACAACGGCTGGGAAGGATTCGGTCTCGCCAAAGTAGCTGTGAAACGTCAGCCAAAGTAAGGACCAATGCGGCATAAGCAGAGCAAGCGAGATGGTCTGACGACGAGTAGTTACTGCGGTCGAGGAAGCATGGCAGGGAGATTTGGCTTGCGGCCAAGGCAGATGTTGCAAAGTTCGCGCTGGTGACGGCGGATGAAACGGCGACGACGGATCAACTATTGGTCAACAGGATCAGCCCAGCACACAGGTCGTGGACTCGTAGAACACCAGCTGAAGGGGGCCAAAGTGTCCTGGGCCACAGACAAGGCCATTTGTTTTTTTGTCAGGGGCCACAGGCTGAAGGCACGAAGGATGAATTGACGTAGATTGATTTTTTAGGTCTGGACGAGGTGGAGCGATTGCCAGGAACGGAAGTCAAATCTCGGTAGTGTTGCACAAGTCTCATCAGGAGGTCGGCGAGCCGGTCAGCCCTACAAAATGACGAGCCTCTAGTGGTCTGTGGGCAAAAGAACGAAGTAGGTAAGAAAGCGACGATTGTGGACAAGCGCAGGATGGGCGCAGGGAGATGATCGGCATCATAGAGAAGCGGCGGCGGTGAGGGCGCAGTCACTCAAATGACAGTCAAATGACAGTGGACACGCACGCAACCAGCCCTGTTGCTTGTGGAGTGATAGGTGATGGTCAAATCTCGTCTTCATGGTTGAAAGGATTCAACTCCTTTCCCTCTACTTGTACCTCGTACAATTACATATGCGTGTCTCGTACGTAAGGATATGCTTTGTAGGCCAGCTCGGACAACGTCATCCTCCTGTGTTTGGCCAGCTCAAGTGCACATGAGGACTATAGTAGTGTTACTCGGACGCGCACGCGTGCCTCCTGGCTCACTCCAACAGACCTCTGGCTTCAAAACGCCAGCTGATTCAAATGTCCGGGTATCACAACATGCGTGGCCTTTTCTTTCCCTTTCCAAAACCTCCATGACTTCCTCCAACGCCTTGCTGTCTAAAGGTACATTAAATGCTTCAGAATGCGCCCCCTGCACATGGCAGCCCGCTGACTGCTCATAACCCGGCGACATCTCCCTCAAGCACTGCTCTGGCGAACCGCGTGTTCCCCGAATCCGCGATCCTGCCTCCAATAACTTCTCCAAGCTTGTCAATTAGCTGGCTCCGTGTGTTGGCTGCAGTTTCAGCTGAGTGCCCATTCATCATGGGGATGTCATCGTCTACCAGTGTCCCGAGGGCATTCAGGATCGCACTGACGACCTTTTCTGCCTCGGCCTTCTTCATGCTTGACTCCTGGAGATCCTCCTCTAATAGCTCCCCATACGCTTTGACATTGGGTAGTATCAGCTGTCGAACCACTTCCGCTCCACCAATGGCTTTTAATCCAAGGATGGCGCCGTAGTGGCTGCCATATGGCTTCTTGGGGTCGAGGAAGGTCTTCAGGCAGGATCGCGCTAGACGAGGTTTGAGGTTATGTGAGTATTTGGAGTATTTGTTGCAGAGATGGCCCAACAGGGAGCCAGCTAGATCGCGGAGGTCGTAATGATCAAGTGCCCCAATGCCAGTGCCCAAAGTGCGTCCAATCAAGCAGGTCAGTACCGGGGGGATCATTGAGGCAACCTGTCATCCAGTTAGCCTACAATCCACGCAATCTGCTATCTCGTTAAAGGGTACGCACGTAAGGGGTCAAATTGAGTTTGTCGTTTCGGGTCAAGGCATCCGTGAGCATCATCATCTGCGTGAGCACGAATAGATCCTTCAAGTTGTGCGTGACCTTTTCCGCTACAAATTGCACAAAATAAGGCACCAGCTGATGTAGACCGGGGTCTTCTTTCAGGCTGGCCAACCCTGCCGCGCGATACTCCGGTTGTGTTTCGTCCAGCACTGACGCGCAGACCTTCTCGAAGTATAGCTGTAATTCTTTGGAGAGGATGTGTTTGACCTGAGGTTTCGTCGTGGTGGTGTTGTCAGCACCACTCATCGCAGCCAGGGCAGGGTTTGCATTCGGTCCTTTGGGGACTAATTCGAGATTCCTTGCTTCGGTCGAGGTCGGGTTTTGAGGTATTGAAGGTTGAACACCCTCCACAGCCAGCCAGTGAGCTACATTAAACGCAGGTCAG